TCCATGCCTTCACGTGGCTAGGACCCAATGCCGGAAATAATGACCCTGTGGCAGCAATGTGGACAAGATTCTTCGTTCAGCTACAAACTCTTCACGCCACGCAGTTTAAGACGAGTTTACTGGTCCTACCATCGTCATCCGTCTCTTCTTCTCCAATGTTAGTAACAGAAAACAGGATTGCACAGGATAGAAAGGGCTAAGCTTCTGCTTTAAGGTAATTTGGAAAACAGCAAAAAAAAAAAAAATCACACACAAAAAACCATCAAGCCAAAGGAATTAAATACATCACCTGTTTCTCAGTTTTTTTTTTGCTTTTCTCTAGGGTCATCTACATCTGAAATGCTTTTCCTTGCAGAATTCACCGTGCTATTACCACTTCCTCTTTCCAAAATCGTGTCTGAACTGACATCCTGAAGATAGCTCAGGTGAAACTTAAAACTAATGACAATGACAGGGCGCTGAGTTCCCACAATGCACCACAACTCCCGGTGCTCCTTGGCGACCTGCCTCAGAGAGCACGGGGTCGGCGCCTGGCGGTGTTGACCGGGGCGCTCAGACCCCCTCCCGAGCCCCCGGCGCTGCCCCCGGCCAGCCGCTCGCCACCGCTCTCGTTCACGGGGCGCACGGAGTCCCCGTTCACAAGTCCGATCGTCATCCCATCCACCTGCCACGGGTCCTGAGTCCGTTCCTCTCACTCTCCTCTGCAAACCTGGGCAGGCGGCCCGGCAGAACGACTGTCCTATACACAGTGGTGGGGACCGGACCCCCGCACGAGTGAGGGCGTTAATCAGGAAGCAGGGAAAGCCCTTCTCCGCACAGGCAGCGGGCTGCTGCCGTGGGCGTGCCCTAGAGGCCGCGCGGGCTCCGGGCGAGGGTCTGAGCGCCCGGTCCCGGTTTCCTGGGAAACGACACCGTCTCATCCGGGTCTGCCGAGCGCTCCACAGAAACCCCTTCAAAAACCGGCTGTAGCACTGCTCCTACACTTTGTTAGCATTGAATTTGATCATCCCAAGGGCGACAAAGTTGCTGTATGATATTAGCTGATTATTCCTGTTGAGTTTTCACAGAAAGACAACACTTGAAGACATCTCCCCCTCAATTTTAAAACCCGTGAGGGGGCTACAGCTCCCACCTGGCTCTCCACAACCCCCCTCTGGACGGGGCATGCCCCATGGCTCCCCGCCCTCTCCTCGCCGGGGGGGGGGGCGGGTTGGGGAAAGAAAAGGCAGCTTTAAGTGACCCTGACGTCAGCAGGCTTTGTTGGGTCATCAGAATGACCTGTCCTCCAGCTCGCACCCTGGCCCCAGCAAGTGCCCCGTGCTGGGCGTGGAGAGGTCAATGCCAGAGGCTCAGACCTGCAGCCTGGCCTCAGCGACAGTGCTGTCTGGAAGAAGGGGAGGACCCTGGGACATAGCCAATACGACACGTCATGTCAAAAGGCCCCACGATTCCCGGGAGTCAGGACTGGAGGGATGGGGCCGGGAAGACGCACTGAGGGTCGCTCGCAGACTGGGGAGCGGGAGTGGCAAGCATCTTGGAGCGGGTGGCCCACAGCCATAGCTGGAAGGAGGTTTGGGCACAGAACGGGCGACTGGTTCTCAACCAAGAGCGACTTTGTCTCCCCGCCGCCCCGCCCCCAGATACAGTCTGGAGACATTTGCGTTTGTCACAATGTGGGGTGGGGGGGGAGGAAGCTACAGCATCTGATGGTGGAGGCTAGGGATGCTGTGACACACCCTACGGTGCTCCACAGACAGTGCCCTGGCCCCGAATGCTGCCACTGCTGAGGCCCAGAGAGGGGAGGCCACAGGGGGTGGGCAACACTGAGTGAGCTACGGCCAAGGTCAAGGTGAGAAACAGGGACCGTAAAGCCAAGTCTTCCCCCTCAGCAGCGATCACAGAGACGCCAGCTCAGACAGAGGAAAACACTGTTTTTCATCCGGAACTCTGCAGAGGGTTGCGAATCGCCGCTAACCTCGGCCAGGAGCACTCAGAGAGGGTCTTCGCCGGGGCTTCTCCTGGAGTCGAGTCTGACAGCGCGTGTCAGGAAACTGACAAAGGCTAATGCTCTCTGACCCCGACGCTCCATCTCCAGGGTTTTATTTTCAAAAGGAAATAGCCCCGCATCCAGAACAGTCCTGCAGGCCACGTCCTCACATTACTGTCGTTCCGAAAAGCGAAACAGGAGTAGCAACTTCAAGGCCCGACGACGAAGACACAGCTGAACTCGGACACACCCGCAACGCGCATCACTGTGTGGTCGGTAAACGCCGCGTTTGTAAGGCGCTGCGAACAGCAGGATCTGCTACCACACGGTGCTCGGCGGCAGGGACCCACAGGGGGCCGGCTCGTGCAGCTGAGTCTAAGGCGGGCCTTCGGGGGGGGGGGGGGCTCATCCCGACACACGCCGTCTGTGACGTCCTCATCCCTTGAGTGGTGCCCGTCCTCGCGTCATGAAATGACCCCACTCACCGCTGCGGGGCAGAGTCTTGTGGCCGAACACCGGGAGACACGGCGCTCGTCAGGTGACCGGGCAGGAAGTCCCTTGGGAGTTCCTCCTGACCGGGCTTTCGTGTTCCACTGAAGACTCCAAAGTCGCACACCACCGGAAGCCTGTGCCACCGACTGGGAGACCCTCAGACAGAGGGCCCACTGCGCAACATCGATGCTTCAGGCGGGCGGATGCGGACGAGAACGGTGCTCGTCCAGTATCTTCTCCGAAAGCACCTAAAAAGTCGGATGGTTTTGTTCCATCTGCTTGGGGGTCTCAGGACCGGGGGGAGCTCCGGCCCCAGGCCTGGAGTGCAGAGTGGGACTGGCAGTAAGCAGAGCATCAACGAAGCCAGCGCTGTTTTGGGCACACAGGACGCAGAGAGCCGTGTGGGTCGACGCCGCATACCCCGTGGCCTTCCAGTGGCCCGGGGAGAAGTGCGTGTCATTGCCAATCAGCTTCGAGGGAGAGAGCTCACAAACACAGGCGCAGACGTGTGTGGGTGTGCACACTGGTACACACAGGGTGCGGCAGAAGCAGGTTTACAGTGGCGAGTGTGCAAAACCGAGTTCGTCCTCCGAGTATTTACTGTTTTATTTCGAACAGCTGCAAACGTACGTTGCCCCCCGCCCCGTACTTGAGGCCTGGGCCCAAATGGTCTGAGCCCAAGGTCTCTGTGGTTTTGAACTTGAGGACTAAGGGACCCAGCGTCACGCGGAACCTCCAACACTGCACTGCAGAAACGTCTTCAAGCTCGGCGGGACCTCTGAGGGCACCAAACCCACCCCCCTCTCCGGTTACCCAGAGGTGGAGACAGCCTTGGGCGCTCGTGGGCGGGGGGAGGGGGTTTGTCCCTGATCGCTGTGCCGGAGCATCACAGATCAGCAGTGCTGAAAAAGGGGACCTGGCCCCCACGAACACCTGTCCCCAAATAGTCGGGCAAGGCCTCGGGCTTCGGGGCCACTGAAGTGCCCCACTGGTGAACCTCCAGGGTGGAGCGCTCTCCGTGGGCGGGGGAGGGTGGTGGCCAGGGACAGAGCGTTAATCCTGATTCTGCGCCTAAGACAGCCGGTCACACGGCCACAGGCACCAGCCTGCACGCCAGAGCCAGGCGCACGCTGGGGAGTTTTCCTTGGGCGCGCCCCTCCGCGGGGACGGAGGTGTGAGACCCGGCTCCGGAGAGCTGAGCACTGCTGTGGTGGGAGCGCCAGAAACCCACACTATTATTCCTCAGCATGAGGCCCGCAGACAAGGATGCGCTCCCACCGGGGCTCACGGCAATGTCGGCCAGTGTTTCCGGAACCTTCATCAGCAAGGAAGACGACATTGGCGGCTCCAGCGAGCTCTTCAACTACTTGCGCGAGGCCTGTGCCGGCAACCCCGACGCTGCTGACGTCTCCCGCCCCGGGCTGCGTCTGCACCTCTCCGGCGCCCCCACGGCACCTCTCGGGCGCCCCCACGGTCTCATCCATCGGGAAGCCGCGTCCGATCGCCCTACCGGCCTCTGAGCGCTCAGTATACGTACCCTTGTTCCTGACATCCTCTCACGTGCCTGCGCCCATTACGGCTTTAAAATGCTTCACAGTCATTTTCATTAATGAGCAAAGCTTTCACGGACAGAAGCTGCACTGTAAAAGCACCACGCACATGCTGCCTTTTCAATTTGGCTGCGGTCATCTTTAACCATTTCCCCCCGAGTGGGGAGTCACTGATTCCTCGACCAGAGTCTCTCGCGGAAAGTGAAGCAGGAAATCGCAAGTTGGCACAGAGGAAGGGGGAACTCTGGCCTCTCTGACCTCCTGGGGGGTGGGAGAGGGGGCCCCACCAGCCTTGGGGGTCCTGCCCAGCCCAGGGCGGCCGTGTGGACACAGCCACGGGTCCTGGCCAAGCTGCCCCGGAAAACACGGCTGAGGAAGCAGGAGACTCTGCTCCCGCCGCTGGGCATGGAGAGGCCCCAGATTTGCTTCATTTTGAAAAAGTCCCATAATTACTACACACACACGCACACACACACACACACACGCACACACACACACGCACTCACACTATTCCGGAGCCAGCCCATAACTGCCAACTACCAGGTCGGACGGTGGAGAGGCCAGCCCTCTGGGCAGCTGGGACACGCAGGCGCTGGGACCAGAGGGACGAGACCTCTGGAGCGGGCGGCGGCCTGTCCTTCCAGGCCTGTTTCGGAACGACGCGAGCCTAAACTAACTTCATTCGGGCGTGGGTGTTCCCTGCTTGTCACATGGGGTCTGGAGGCATCCTTGGAGACACGGCTTCCAGGGAGGGCTCACCATGCACGAAAGCGTCACCTAAGGACACGGAGGCAGCGCTGACCTCCACCCACCCCAAGCGGGCCGCAGCCACCTGGGAGCGCAGCCCGTGAGGCGGCCCCTCCCAGCATGTGCTGGAGAAGAAACTCCCGGTCTGTACGTTGGTGGGGCACCCAGCTGGTGGGGAGGGCCGGTGGGGGCGGCCCCCGCCGGGGGATGGACGCGTCACTCACCCGCCCTGTAACTCCAGCCGGGGATGTGAATGGACAGCTGGTCGGTGTGAACGCCGGCGTGACAGCACGTGGCAGGGGCCTCCGCCCCTTTCCTCACCGCGATCTGCTGAGCGCCCGCGGCGGCAAATTCTGCATCGTCCAACGGAGAGGAGCCGCCCCAAGGACACGTGCCGGTCCCCAAATGCACCTGCCCCAGGGCGGGCGGCCCCACCGGGGTCCAGCGCGGACCCAGGAGGCCGGGGCCCCCCTCGGGGAGCTGCGGCTTCAGGGCACTGCTGATTGGCCCTGCTTTGGCTGTGCCGCCTGCCCCCTCTGGTGTCAGTCCGTGGGAACTGCAGCGCAGGTTGAGGGACAGGACGGACCTGTGCATCTTGGGGCCAGCCAGGCGCGTTTGCTCCATGGGGACGGAGAGGGGCCTGTCCAGGTAGTAGATGGCATTCGGGCACTGCTGAGACACCCTGAGGTGGACGCAGGAGCTGAACAGCAGCGGGCCCTTTCCCGACGGTGGGGGGTCGGGAGGAAACCTGCCCTCCCTGTGGTCCACGCTGGTGACCCAGTACTGGTGTCCGTCACACAGCTGCAGCTGGGCCTCGGGGAACCTCAGCCTCATCACTGAGCCGCTTCTGGAGGATTCCGTGCAGGTGAAAGGCCCTCGGTGCCGACCGGGATGGGCTCCGCTGGCCAGGACAGAGGGGTCCCTGAGCAGAGGGTGCTGCACCCTGCACCGGGTGCACAGCGGGTCCCCCACAGCCCCCCACACCAGGCTGCCGGCCGGGGGGCCCACGCGCCTGGCCGTGATGGTGATGGAGGCAAACCCCTTCCGGGGGCCACTGCCCGGCTTCTCCTCTTTGGGGGGCAGCTCGGCCTCGCGTCCTCGAGACCCCGCCGGCGTCTGCACCCCTAACTGGCCGGGGAGGAAGGCGAAGGCCCTGTCGATGGTGACCCCGCTGCGGCTGGCCAGAGCCTGCTTCACGGGCCACGCGGGCAGCTGGGGGTCCGCGCACAGCACGGGCAGGGCGGCCCCGTCTTCTCTGGACTTGCCCTCATCCATCAGCTGAGCGATGGCCGTGGACGGAATCATTGTCGGCCTGGGTGATGCCAGAGTCCCCTGCAAATGGAAAAGGGTCACAATTACTCAGGCAGCCCACTGGAACGCAGGCAGGGAACCCTCGGGGGCCCAAGGGACTCTGTGCCCAGCACTCTCACCCCAGACCTGCCACCCCACCCCCGACACCCCCTCTGAGCATCCCTTCCGGGGGGCGGGCGAGGAGCCCAGATCTGCGCGTGAGCTGACTGTGCGCTCCGAGGCGGCCCTCTGACCGGGGGAGGTCTCCGCTGCTGGTGGCCCTTCTCAGTCCATGGACTGGAGTGGGTGTGACGGGGCCGTGGGATCCCTCTCGTCGCCCCCACCAGGCCCAGGCGCCCCCGACGCAGGCTCGGAGGGGGAGGGGGGCGTGGGCTCGGGGCGTGGGCTCGTGGGAAGGTGGGTCAGCTTTCCTCCGAGAGCAGCTGCGAGTACGGGGGGCCCCCCGGCCTCCGTCCCCAGCTCCCTGTGCCGGTTCGGACCGGAACCCAGGGCCTCCCCAGGACTGCCATCACGGGGTCGGATCCCAGACTGCGGAACCATGGCCATCCAACACTGGAGCTCGACAACGGCCCAGACCGGCGCAGGGGCCCTGAGAACCAGGGACCAGAGGGGGGGGCGGGAGTGGCTGGACCGAGAGAGGCCGAGTGTGGCTGCCTTCCTGTCGCTGCCCACGTACTGAGCGGTGTTGCTGCTTCCGAACCAGCAGGCTGCAGGTTCTAACAGCCAGTCACCTGTGTCCGCAACAGTGAGCCGTGGTTTTTAACACGGCGTGGCGAACCGGGGGGACGGGGTGGGGGGGAATCTCCCCTGTCCCTGCTGTCTTCGCCGTGTGCGCAGGTGACGCACTGCAGGAGGCTGCGCGGAGACCAGCCGACCCAGCACTCGGACGCTCTCAGGGACCCGAGCCCCACCCGGGACACCCACTGTTCCAGGGCGTAAAACAAGCCCGTGCACGGCACTGCACAGGATCCAAAGTAACGCTGGCGGCCCCCCCGCCCCCCGGCCCCCACCCCCACCCGCCCGCAGTCCTCAAGTGGGAGCCCGAGGGCACCCTGGGTGCTCACACTGAGCGGTAGCTCGCCACCTCCGAAGTGCCGGGGAGTCAGTCACAGGGCAGGTCGCAAGGGCGGGCTCCCCAGGCTCTGGAGACCTTGTGGGCGGGGCCCCGGCTGCTGCCTGTTACCAGACACCCAAGCTCAAACCGAGTGACAGCAAACTGTCGTCCTCCTAAGACTCGACGAGAGCGCCCAGGGGCCCTGTCCTTTGCTTCGGAGTCACAACCGTTTCCCCCGGCAGCCAGCGTTTCTCCGCAGCTGGGCCTCGGACGGGGGCGCCGCCCGCGGGGAGCCTCTTGGGCCCTGCAGGGTCCCACGTGGGGAGAGGGCCGGCCTGACTTCCTCTGTTTCCCCTTTCTCCTCGTTTTTCACGGCCCTCTCCACCACCGCCCACACAGCCACACCTGAGAGACAGGTGCGCCTGGGAAACGGAGGGCATGAGGCAGAGGGTCTGTCTGACGAGCCCAAGCCACCTGCCGCATTGAAAACACGGCATATTTTCCTTAAGAAGCTGTCGACATCCTTCCCATCAACTACCTTCCCCGATGACGCAATTTCAGTGGGTCGCTCCCTCTGTCCTTTATCCTGGATGAGTTGCGCATGGCTTTGAAAGAGGAGATCTTTTATCTAAAACAAACTGATGTAGCAGTCTGAGAGGAGGAAACCAGTCTCGCAGGTCACGTGGGGTGCTCAAGGCCACAGAGGGGTCGAGTGAAAGGCTAGACCTGGTGTCTGGCTGGGCTGGTAAACCTCCCCCCACCCCCCGTCCCTGACCAGCACCGCGCACGCAGGTACATTTTCTTTCCCATCAATGCTGCTTGAAGACACGGATTCCTTTTAAATGCTTCACATAGGCTTTTGTGGAGCTGGCGACAGCTTTCGTTTTTGTCGTCTCGTCCGCTTTATTGACCTTTTCTGACCGCGCGTCTGTGCCACGAGGCTGCTGCGAAGGAGGGCGCCATTTCACGAGTCCAAGTGGACGGCCAGAGAGTAGGCAGGTCCTGAACCCCCGGACTGAGGGCGCTTCTGTTTCCGCAGCGCCGTGTTTCTCCAAAGGATGAGCATCTCATCTAATCTGTAGCTCTGAAATCTCGATGTTTCTCCACGGGACGATTCCTTCCTCTTCCACAGCTGCTCTGCCACCTACGCTCTTTGCCAGAAGGATTCTTTGGTCCCATCGCCCCACAGACACGCCGTGGTCACCTCCACATTAGCTGCAAGCGTGCCTGCTCCGGGCACGCCCCTGTGCCATCCCTCCAATTGCTACAAACCGAGGCAGATGCAGACATTTCGAAACGCCCTTCCTTACAGTCGGGATGAATTGGCATGGCATCTCATCCCGACTGTAAGGGTGTTTTCAAACGTATGCATCCGCTTTGGTGTGTAGCCATAGAGAGAGAGGGTTTTCAGACAAATGGGAAAATAGGAGTGTTTCCCTCCACGCAGAACCTCGTCTGCCCGTGCATTTACTAGAAAGCACACGGTTTGGTGCAGGGTGACACACAGCCGGGGAAAGCTGGCAAGAATCCAGGCTTTTTGAAAGGGGATTGGGCAAGCACACCACGGCCTACAGAAATGCATTATCACCGTCTGCAGAAATGACACACATACAAAAAATGATCACAAAGAGTTTAAATGACAGGGGACGTGCCTGCAGCTACAAAAGCTGTGGATGTGACAGTCACGTGTAAGGAAACGCATGAGGAAACTAATGGAGATAAATAGATACGAATGTTCCCTTATTTGTCTATTTCTGCTTTTCCCTAAGTGCCTCCGTGGAGTTGCCATTACTTTTGTTAAGAGGAAAATTTAAGCACTGTCTTTTGAAGGAAGAGAACTCGGTTCCCTGGTTCATTCCGTCTGAATCACTGTCTGGCTGGAGGAGCACCCGCCGCAGGTCACGTCCGCAGCTTCCGCGGGTTTTGCAAAGAGACAGGGACCTGGTGCTGGCCCGGCGGGAGAGGCGGGCTCCCGGCAGACACAGCGCAAGGGCCTGGGTGTGCAGGGCCCCGTCATTTGATGAGCACGCACAGGCCTCAACAGCTGAAAGCAAGGAGGGCCATCTCAAAGTCACACTGCCGATAGGGTCCAACCGATGACCCGGGTCATTCCCAAGCAGATGTGCCGGTGTGAGCGTGCGAGTGAGGGTGTCACGGACACCCAGTCGCATGGCCCCCAGCTCTGGATCCTTAGCGGCCACACGGATTAATTGGAGCATCAACAGGAACAGGCTGGGACCTGCCTGCCCGTGTCAAGAGCAGGTACGAGACACCTTCAGCTGGCGTCTTCCAGAAGAAGAGCGGCCCCCGGTCTGGGCGTGGCCCACCGCCTTCATCTCGGTCCCCAGGAGCCAGTTAGTGACACCACGCGTCCTCACACCTTCAGATGGCGAGCTCGCCGCTTCCACGGGGAAAGGGCTTTAAATACTGCGGACTGCATCTCGGGGCCCAGAATCGCGTCCTTTCTCCACCTGGCGGGACTCCAGGCGGAGGGGGATCACAGGGGAAACGTCGGCTTTATTCAACACAGAGCTAAACCCAAGCATAACACCCGTGACAAGCATTTTAGGAGAAAACACGTTTTGCAGACACCTTGCTGCTTTCATCTGTCTGTTTGGAGAGCACCGTTCACACAATTCCGCTCTCCCTCGAAGTCAGCGGAGTTGGAGGCAGAGTGCCCACTTGCAAGAGACAATAGTTGTCTTGTGCACCAACACCCCCCCCGACACCTCTCTCGGGCAGGAAAGTCCGCGTTTTCGATTCTGTTGACCGAAATGTGTCCTTTAGAGCAGGGTAAGGACAGAGCGCCGGAGCCAGGCAGCCGAGGAGCCGAGAGACTGGGGCGAGCCAAGGGCTGGAGGAGCTTGCACTTGAGCTTCCGCTTCTGCAGCGCCGGTGCCAGGGCCCTCCGTCCGTCCCTCACTGCCAGGGGCTGCAGGGAGGGCGGAGTGAGCCAATGGGAGAAAGCCTGGCAGGGGCCGCCGGGCCCCCGCTAAGCACTGTGCTCAGAATCCTTTGTTCTCCAGAACCAGAACGTTTTGTTTTGTAAGTAGGACCTTTCATGTCCTTCCCCACTGGAGACCGCGGGCCCTTCTTGCGGCTTGAGCAGCCTGCACGAGCGGTTGCATCTCCAAGCCCGTCCTCCACCTTCACACGATGCTCTCCGGCTTCCTTCTCGGTCTCCGGCAGGTTGGTTGGGGCTTAAAACTGAGAGGCGCTCGCTACACCCTCCCGTGACTCTGCAAGTTCACACGCCGGCGTGCAGGTTGTAGAAGCAGCACTGAGCAGACGCATTGCATGCTGGGATGCGCTGCACGCCATGACGTCCCAGGTCTTGGTCAGCGTGGGGAGATTTCCTGAGGCCTCCCGTTGACCTTGAGCTGAGCAGAACGAAATGCAAGCTCATCCTAGGGAGGCCAGTGATCCCGTTCTATGGTTGGCTGCCTTTTGCTGACTATTCTAGAGGGTGGAAACAAATGTTACCTCGGGGAAGCCAGATTTCTTCTCTGTGACATCAGCCTGCAGACTGACCGGTTGCCCCATACCCCTAAGCAAAAGGAGACAGTGTTGCTACTTTTCAGCACAGGAGCAAATAGCATGGAGAGGAGACTGGAGAGGAAGCGACGTAACCAGCCCTTAGCACAGAGCTCAGAACGTGACACCGCTGTCCTCGCCAGCAGGGAGGAGGGAGACCGCTGTGACCCACAGGCAGGGGCTGCACATGAGTGTCCCACAGCTGCTGTGACAGAGCCCCCCCCCCGCCCACACACACAGGGGCTTACACAGCACGAATGTGCCATCTTACAGCTCCGGAGGTCAGAGGCACGGTCCCGCCGGGCCAGCACCCAGGTGTGGACGGGGCTGCCCCCATGGGAGGCTCCACGGGAAAATCCGTTCCCTTGCCTTTTGCAACTTCCACGGCCACCTGTGACCCTGGGCAACGAGCCCCACATCCCGCCGGCCACTG